TAGTAGAGACGGGGTTTCACCATGTTGACCAGGATGGTCTCGATCTCTTGACCTTGTGATCCACCCGCCTCGGCCTCCCAAAGTGCTGGGATTACAGGCTTGAGCCACCGCGCCCGGCCGACAGAGTTTCACTCTTGTTGCCCAGTCTGGAGTACAATGGTGCCATCTCGGCTAACCACAACCTCCACCTCCCAGGTTCAAGTGATTCTCCTGTCTCCAGCCTCCCGAGTAGCTGGGATTACAGGCATGTACCACCACACTGGGCTAATTTTGTATTTTTAGCAGAAACGGTGTTTCTCCATGTTGATCAGGCTGGTCTTGAACTCCTGACCTCCGGTGAGCCGCCCACGTCGGCCTTCCAAAGTGCTTGGGATTAGAGGCATGAGCCACCACGCCCAGCCGGAGATCTGTTTACAACCTAAGTCATCCACAGAAGAACAGTACATTCTCAGTGAGATGAAATGTTTGCTTCTAGATGTCCGTTCATTCACTGAGGAAAAATGGAGTGCTGTTTTAGAAGCAGGCCCTATTGGACGCCAGCCCACATTTAACTATGTAGATATATATTTATGGCTTACACTAATTAATTTAATAAACATTTACTAAGTATCTGCTGGTTCCCATGCATGGTGCTGGACACTGAACTAGCCTGTCTGGTAGAAGAGAGAGGTGGATACAGGGGCTGGGCAGGGGATTTGGCAGAGCTCAGAAGAGAAGCCAGTGCCTGTTTTCATACAGAGGAGTCTGGGAATACGTGTGGACTGCTTGCACTGCAGGGAAAAGGTTGTACTTGAGCGGCATCTTGAGCTGCCATGGATTTTGGAGGGGAGGGGACTATGAGTTGAGAAAGCACAGGCGAGCATCCTAAGCTGCAGGCACAGCACAGCCAGGCCAGCCTGGGCTTCAGAGAGCGTACACTGCCTTTGAGGCACTGCCCATGGTGTGGTCCTACAGAAGCATGGGATGGAACTAGAAAAAAGAGTTGTGGCCAGCCAGGCGCAGTGGCTCATGCCTGTCATCCCAGCACTTTGGGAGGCCAAAATGGGAGAATCGCTTGAGGCCAGGAGTTTGAGACCAGCTTGGGCAATATAGCGTGACCTCATCTCTATAAAAAAGCCAGGTGTAGCCAGGCATGCTGATCCACACCTGTAATCCCAGCACTTTAGGAAGCCGAGGCTCACTTCGTCTCCCTCCTTCCCTGTCCTGAGTGCAGGAGTTCGAGACCAGCCTGGGAAAATAGTGAGACCCTGTCTTTATTTAAAAATATATATAATGGGCCAGGCATGATGGCTCACGCCTGTAATCCCAGCACTTTGGGAGACCAAGGCCGGTGGATCACAAGGTCAGGAGTTCAAGACCATCCTGACCAATACGGTGAAACCCCATCTGTACCAAAAATACAGAAATTAGCTGGGCATGGTGGCACCAGCCTATAGTACCAGCTACTGAGGAGGCTGAGGCAGGAGAATCACTTGACCCCAGAAGGCGGAGGTTGCAGTGAGCCGAGATCGCACCACTGCACTCCAGCCTGGGTGATAGAGCGAGACTCCATCTCAAATATATATAAGCTAGGTGCAGTGATGTGTGCCTTTAGTCTCAGCTACTTGAAAGGCTGAAACAGGAGGATCACTTGAGCCCAGAAGTTGGAGGCTGCAGTGAGCTTCGGTCACACCACTGCACTCCAGCCTGTGGCAATAGAACAAGACCCTGTCTCAAAAAAAAAAAAAAACAGAGGAGTGAGAGGAGTGTGCCCAGAGCCTGTGAGTGGGGTCAGTGGGGACAAGGGAAACCGGGCCTGGAGCATCTCTGCAGGTTTAGTCCTGGGAGAGCCTGTCTCAGGTGGCAGGGCCAGGTTCAGGGTGGGGACAGGCCAAACCTCCCCTGATGAGGAGGGATTGATATAATACCTAGCATGGGGAAAACCTCACGGTGGACACTCGTCAGTGACATCAGTGCTCTTCCCACCTTTTCCAAGACCCTCGAGTCTTCCATCCAGGGCCTCCGGATAATGTGAAGCTGAGTGAGCCTCCGCCGTCCAGCATGACAAACTGTGGCTGACCGCAGCTGTGCCGTGGCACGATGGTGAGGAAGCCAGCCCCGAGGAAACACTGAAAACACATATCACGCCAATACCTTGTGGTTTTGTTTGAATATAAAATTGGTGAAAGTGTTGGTTTTTTAAAAGCAGTGATTTTTGTTGTTGTTTTTTTTTTTTTTTTTTTTTTTTTTTTTTTTTTTTTTTTTTTTTTT